CTCCTCCTTCCGCTTGGGCTCCCCATCCAACCACGATCTCATTTATTAGGCACAATGTAACTTCTTTTTTGCGGCATAATAACTGGCTGTTAGCTCTTTGAAACGATGTCCATCCGTTATTGGTGACTCCACCGGCGTGCCTATCTTTCACTTTCTTTTCTTTTCTCTTGTATTACAACACATTAGCTGAGGTGTTTTGCACCTGCAGCTAACGTGTATACTGATGAATGATGATGCTTTAACATTGTCTTAGATAGGCAAGCGAATGACCTAGGAAGTCTTCGGAATGGCTATCCGCGAGAGATTTTACGTAACTGTATCAGGATATCAGAAAGTACGAATTGCTTACGAATGGGGTTTGTCGGTGGAGGGATGTTATGCCGTATTGGGACACAATTGTGCCCGAACATGATGATGGTACAACACACGGCTGATTTGTTCCGTTTAGGGTTTACAGAGGTGTTGACTGGTGCAATTTTTTGTAGTTCCTTTCGTTCGCGGCATGACAAGTTCACTGGCTTCTTGGGGATTACTCATATTTGTGGGCATATCTGGGGCGACTCCGGTTTCCTAACTGCATCTGCCACACTATTCTGTGTTGAATTTCAATTAGGAAATAAGTCGGAGGGCGCGCACACAGTTTGAACCGGCCGCCTTGACAACGGACATTCAATGATTCATTTCGGAATTCTTATGTTGCTTGCCATTCATCGTTTTGACAGTTAAAGAATTCTCGATTTTATCTAAGAGACTGGATGATTCGCGCCTACCATTGTTTTAGTGGATCTCTTATATCAAACATATCCTATTTCGAGTAAACTTATGTCCCTGTTGGTCGGATGGCCAATCGCTGCTGTTGCCTGAGTCAACAGACTCATCTGGCTCACGTCTATCGAACGCACTGCGCTGTTTTTAATCGAGCTAGCACTGTGTACCTCTAGGTCACAATGTGCTTTCTGCGTGGCTTCATTGTCTATCATGCTTCTGACACGTTTGAATTACGCTGTCGCGCAATCGTCCGATAGTGGTAACTTACCAAACGCGTAGTCGGAATTTGTTAGCATCTTACCTGAGCAGGATTCAATGGCTACTCTACGTAGCGTAATCGTGGAAACTGTGACAGTCATCGACACAAGTCGCAAAATCTAAGACCATGTGAAACATCACAGTTTGCTCACCGCTCGCTCTTACTCGAAGCATATCTAAAGCTCTACTGACAAGTCATGTTGAGCCTCTGGATACACTATTGCGCACCTTTTCACTACTTATATGAAGGAAGGGATGGTTAGCCCTGTCTTTTCGCACTTTTAAGTTCTCCTCTGCAGTCTATTGCAGGAGTAGTCTTTGCAACTGGTTCAAAGTCCATGCATCATCCCTGGTCGGAAGTTGCCTGAAGTCTACTTTTTCCTAATCCGCAATCTAGTTTTCCCAGCATGGGAAATGCACCACTCTGGCTGCCAACCCTAGTGGGACTTTTGGGGTTGCCGTTATCTCCATCATTTCAGCTTACCTCATCCATTCTTGCAGTACTGTCTGCATGGTTGTTGACGTGTCTGAACCGAGAGTTGTGCTGCTGTACTCACGAATATTGTTGTCCCACGTGCGGCAGCCCCTACGATGAAAAAGTTAGTGCTCGGCTCATCCACTTAACGAGACTACCGCAGTAGCCTTTAGTCTCTACTGAAAGCACTGCATTAAGACGGCGAAGGAACTACTAGCGGAACGTGTTAACAGTAATAGCGTTCCCTGTCTACACCGTTTTCTGCCACTCGGAGCTTTTGCAACCCGGATGACATACGAAATGTATAGAAATCTCATGGTTCTGCCTTACCGTCATAGACCATTTAGCCATTAATCCTCCCTAAAGTGCGTGTGTGTGTATGTGTGTAAGCAAATTGATAAATTTTACCCGTTTTCTCGCGTCTCTAGGGCTCCACTCAACTCCATGGTCACAAGGTATTGGGACAAAGTGGACGAATCGGTTCGCGCACAAATGGCTCCTTTAGCTTGCACTGCTGCTTGGGCTGTGAACGAATGGGCTCAGATGGAGCGTTATGCCTCGGTCTTGCCAACGGACCAATCATTCGATGGCGCCTTTTACCGAGCCGTGCTGAATATACACTCGGGCGAGTGCAACGCTGCCTTGCAGTGCATCCAAAAGGCTCGCAACGTTCTCGATGCTGAGTTGACCACTATGGCTGGAGAAAGCTACGATCGGGCCTACGCGGTGAGTGGTGACTTCTTTAGCCGTCAAGAAAGAAGCGCTACACCTTGGTGCCATTTGCCATTTATCCTGTGACATGAACTACCACTTTTGCTACATTTGGCGTGTCTCCGTACTCAGAGTAGAACAATATGCCTGCAGTCGACTCATGTTGACAATGAAGGAGTTTTAATAGATGCACAACTTGTTGCTACGGAGCTACCTAGTTTGCTTGTGGCGCTACTAATTCCCGCCCGTAAAGCTAGCTGTAGTCACCCACAAGCTGTTGCTTCCTGTGACAGAAATTTGGGAAAACGAGTGTATTCTCTCCTCTCTCCCCTCTTTGGTTGTTTTCCGCACTGAATCTATCTGATCCCCTTACCATTAGCCTCGAAAGCATTAGGAGAACGGTTTGCAGGGTAACTCAGTAGATCACAGAGGCAGACAGACCATCACATCAGGTTAACTTGCACTATCAGTGTGCATATTGTCCGGAATTGGAGTACCGCGGTCGCAACTGACATGTACGTTAATATGATGCGAAGAGCTGCCCACCTTTACAATTCATTGTGGCTTGCTGAACAGTACTTTTGTGCGCCTTGATAACTACTCTTACCAGTTTGTCAGGGGTTATATACCTCAGGCGATTTCAATATATTGGTCATCCAGAGTATTAGTAAAGTGTATCAGCATCTTGTCAACATTACCTATTTTACAAACCGTTACCGCACATCAGCTTCCTTATAGTCAGATTCTTTGGGCAGATGGCTCTAGTTTAAGACTGCAGCCATTTTCCAGTCCATGTTTAGGCACCATAATAACATTCCCTAATGGCATTCAATCCTGATGTTGATTTGGTCAACTACAACCACTCAGACTCTAGAGCTCGTTTCAGCGTCTCCAGCTAGTCACTGTTCTACATAACAAACTTATTGCACATCCATTCCTTTTGTGCCAGTTATTTTGGATCGTCATTACCTCGGTACACAGACCACAGATAACATAATGAAATTGAGCTTTGTCGGATACTGAAGTGTCGCACAGTCGTGAACTCAGGTATGATTTTGCATCCGGCTTGCTAGTTCTAACTGTGATGTTTCTCCGTCTGACGACCTCAACCTTTTATGGCTCTGTTCTTTACTCCATTTTGCACTGTCTTTTTAATATAACCTTTTCCGTTCTTGTTAGCACCTAGAGGCCTCCGATTCTATCCTATTTCGGCACTCAATTTTCAAGCATATAGCGCCTTTCCGTCATTAACCTTATTTAGTTACTATTCTACAGCAAGGCTCCTTATGTGCTAGGAGCCGGATCAACAGCATTCCCAATTAAACTATGTTTCGAGCAGAGTAAAGTTTGATGAACTTTAGCGCAACCAGTGGGATAGGTATAAACCCCCTTGTGAGAAGTTCCAAGTTGTGGTCCAATTTTTCAAGGTGGGGACTTAAGGCTGCTGTCTACGCCGGGTACCAGCGTTCGACATCCATAAGTAACTGGTTTCGATATTCTGTGTCCCACTCGCATTATCCTGAGACATCCACATTTCCCTCTTACCAGGACCTTATCGGAACCCAGCTGCTTTCGGAAGCCGAGGAGGTGATTCAATATAAACTCATTCCGGAACGTCGCCCCATTCTCCGCGAGGCATGGAGGTCTCGTATACGTGGCTGTCAGTCTGTTGTTGAGGATTGGAGCCAAATCATTCAACTCCGCAGTCTGGTTCTGCAACCTCGGGATGATTTGAAAACATGGCTACGGTTTGCTGGCCTCTGTCGTCGAAGTGGTCGTTTCGTAAGTGTCCCTTGGGGAATCTGGTGGTTATTACAACTCCCTTCCTAACGGTATATGCTTTCATCATCGGTGTACATAGATAGTGCATCTAAACACCATTCTTATTCACGGACATCATTTTCCGCACTTTGCGAGATTTTTATACATCAACGCAGTAAGAAGACAGGTTGCGATATGTTAACATTTCGATTGCTCACGTCAGTCGCGACGCAATACTGGCAGAACAAAATACGCATTAAATACGATCCACACTTAGTAACATAGATAAACATACAAAATTCATGTGCATGACGTAATCAGGTCCATGGCAATCTAGTTGATTGCCTCAGTTGTTTCTGAGCACAGAGCGCGAGACAATTTAACCTGTGTGCTCAACCTTGTGTTCAAAACGACTGAGGCAATCAATTAGATTGCCATGGACCTGATTGCGTCATTTACATCAATTTTGTCTGCTTATCTACTTTACTAAGTGTGGACCGTATTTAATGCGTATTTTGTTCTGCCAGTATTACGTCGCGACTGACCAGAGCAAACGAAATGTTAACATATCGCAACCTATGTCTTCTTACTGCGTTAATGAATTGGTTGAAGGGGACTCAGTGTTTTAAATTTTATTCATGCTGATCAGTTGGTCCCATGTCCAACCGAATCTGCTTCAGTAATTGATAACTACTTTCGGCTTCTTGTGTTTTTCGGAACAATGTTTCTCTGTCTTGCCATATTATCCTACCATAGGACGTGGTCCGATACGATCTACCCTGTAGAACTCCTTCATAAGCCACCTATCGCACGTGCACTGGCACAATCGCTCACTATCTAGAGTACTTTTCGTACCTTACCAACTACCTCAGACATTCGCCCGTCAACTGCTTCAAAGTCTGCTCGGTCAAGACCCGGCGCTGTCTCCCCAAAACGAACCGATTCCGAACTCAGATCCTTTCACTGTATTCGCCTACACCAAGTTGTTGTGGGCCACTGGAGCAAATGAGGAAGCTGTCACTAGGCTATGTGTGCTTGTGACACATGTACTGGAACCGTTGCTCAATTCGGAACCTCCTCCAGTGGTGTTATCCCTCGACCGTCGTCCGCTGCCGTGTTGGATGCAAGCGAAGTTCTGGATAACCTCGATCCACGAAGTACGGCCGCCCAAGCAGCATCGGAGCGACAAGAGCTGCGGACTTTGATGGCCAAGTAGGTTTACCTTCAATATTCACCATGTGTGTGGTTTCGCATTTTAACGATTCAGCGGAAACATATTTCGCCACCTGTTGTATTTTTCAACAAGTGCGCCGTCTTTCACTGACTTTTGCCGTTGAATCCCGTCTGCGGTTTTCGCTTTTGCTTTGGAAAACTTGCCCTTTTGCGTGTTTCTTTCGTCTAGGAATCATCACTGGGGTCTCTTCCCTACTCCATGATAAGTATTGTTGCTGAATTCAGTGCACCGTACATTTCCATAATGTGCGCCGTTGTTCTAATGCTTTTCTTTCTTAGATGCTGTTTGCGCTTGGGATCGTGGTATTCCGACCTGTACGCTCGATGTCCACCGAACACTTTCGCATCCGATTCTATCCACACACCTACATCGACATCCGCCTTTTCGACGGCATCTGTTCACGACAGTGGCTTGCAGCACTCTGTCGCAACGGCAAACCGATTGTCCAGAAATCGAGACTCATCGTTCCGTTCTGTACCGGGCTATGACACGGGCCAGACGCATATCACCCGGTCAAACGGCCCCGTGCGTCCAGCCACTGCAGATGGTGATCATTTTCGAAAAGCGTACTCCAGCTACTCCTGCCACTCTGGTCTACTTGCTGATGGCACTGTGGTCAATGTGCCACAAGCGTGGGATGAGCGCCAAGGTTTTGTGATCCAATGTTACGACGCGGCTACAAAACACGCGCCGGAAAACCGCCTCACATGGCAATCTTGGGCTATGACGAATTATGATGTGTTCAAACATCTGGACGCTTTAAAAGCACACATTGAAAGGGCCGAATTGGAACTCACCAAGGTAGATCACTGTTTTGTTTGCATAGGCAGATTTTGCGTTTACTTGTCTGATTTCTTATGTTCATTTGGCGAGTTTTCTTGGGTGGCGCTGCGTTGCTGTAGATTTTTCCGCTAAAGTATTCGCTAGAAGAACCGTGATAGTGTTACGTTAACCGGTTGCTTGATCAGTGAATCAGAAAGTTGTTACGCTAACGATGCATGTATTGTTGGAGCCTGCGTAAATGTATATGCTATGTCGTACATAAGCGTTATGCGGAAAGTTCTAGCTGGTGAGGCTAGCCACTGTCCTCTGCACAGTTCGTAACTGGCATGGCAGTGGAAGATGAGCCGGGCTATATCATAGTCAACTGTCAATCACGCAGGTCCGCTGCTGTCACCTATGTGGAAGTTAGACAGTGTGTCTTGGGACGTGAAGCCACTCGCTCGAGGAGCTCCTCTCGCTGCATCAACTGCGGTGGCTGTGACACGTATTGCGCATGCCTGTCCAGCGTTACCTGCGTCGTGCGTTGTTTGCGGTTGCTGGACAGGGCTGGAAGAGACGGTCTGTTGGACAGCCTGCAATTTGGATTAGCCTCATGAAAAAGCTGACGAAACAGTTGGCCTCGGCTGGTTGTTGTCGACTACCTGGTTGGGGTCCGAGAGGTGCGGATACTTGATGGTTGAAGACCTTGGAAGCCATGGCTCAAGGTCGATGTCAGTGGCGGACATGTGCATCAGTGTGTTGGGATGTCCCTCCTTCCTTCCCCTAAAAAAACAAACTGGAAAAAATTTCCAAACTGTGTGCCGAACTGGACAAAAATGGTTCTGTTGTCGTTATTTTCTTATTATTCATACTGTTCTCCTATTTAGCTATGATCTCGATGTCACAATCTCTGTACCACAGATTGTGTACTTTATATATATATATATATATATATATATATATATATATATATATATATATATATATATTATATATATATATATATATATATATATATATATATGGTTGGCGGCATCCGGTTTCGGATTTGCCTGTCACTGTGGCAAGCCACAGGACGCCTGCGCCTACAGAGGGACCATGGATGGCTTGCGCTGCACCACCCACAGCTCCAACCACACACCCCATATCCAGTGTAAACCCGAAGGAATAAGACCGGGAGGCATGCGGATGGGAACCACGTTTCATCAACGGAGCCGGCCCACACTCCTTCACAGGCAAACACAAGCACACTGTATTTGGGAATCAAGCTCACACAAGGCGGTGGATGGACCGTAGTCCGCTCCACACTGACTGCATGGAACCACTCTTTGATCCTAACACGGCCACAAGGACCGTGCACCCTGTCCCCTCCAGCAACGACCAACTGTCTCCTGGAGCCAGTATGGACGAGGTAGTGGGTAATAGACAGGTAGGCACCTTGTCAACATGCACATCAAGCGCATCCACACCGGGGATTTCAAACAACAGCCAAACACTTGAGAGAAAAAGAGAAAAACTCGATTAATGGATAAGGAAACGGTGATATAAACCTTAATTAAATAGCGTATGTAATAAGTTGTTTACAAACAAATCCTAGCTAAGTGCATGAGGTCAGGAAATATAGTTCACGGAATGCCACGAACACAAATATGCTACGGAAATCGAATACAATTGGCTTAGGCGAGGTGTGCAAGTTAATGGAATAGAGTACTGGTAGACATTTATATGAGAAAGAAAAACATTAAGGCACAAACTGTAAACCCACCACCTGAAATAAAGAGACTTAGCATGCAAGCACGCGGTTAGTAAATCGAATTCAGCGTGCCTACAAACGCTGCGCCGGCTCGCCGTAATTCTCTGCATGACCCGTCCTCGCTTCTGTAGTGGCCCCAAAGGACCTAGCTCATGGCCCACTAGACATTTATATGAGAAAGAAAGGCATTAGGAGAGAATCGAAAACCCACCACCTGAAATAAAAAGACTTGGTATGCAAGCATGCATATATATATATATATATATATATATATATATATATATATATATATATATATATATATATATATATATATATATATACCCATGGCGAAGTGGCACTAGCTGCTGGCATCCTGAAGTCAGGGGGGCGGAATCCGACAGGGGCCCGCTGGGAGGCGCACCACGGACGTGACCCAGAAGGTCGGAACGCCGACGTCTGATGCTTTTCCAGACTAGCCTAAGCCTGCTGATTGGGAGTGACGATGATGAATTTGCTAAATTAAGTGTATTTAATTTGAAATGCAATTTCAATAGGAAGGATACTGTTATCGTTCTTGTTGGGCCTGACCATGTGTTTGCTCCCAGTCGAAGGCTACGTGCAGCCGCCAACACAGCACTGGCCGTTGCCTGAATCAGCTGTGGACGCACGCACTCAACTATACCTTTGATTCGGATAGAAATTGTGTAACTTTGCTAACAACCACGCTTACATAGGTTATTTTTTTGCTGAGCAGATTGCGCAAATCCTTGTATCCCGAGTTAATTTTTCTGGTGTAGTTTTTCTCTTGGCGGAAAGTATAGTCCAATCGCGCAAACTCCTTTACTGGAAGCAACTTTTTGCTATTAGCTGATCGCACGATCTCGTGTTTTCGTACATATAGTGCACTGCTATATACAACGAAATCACTATCTCAGCACTGCACTCTGTGACTAGTCTCGTCCCTGTTTGTAGTCCACAGATGACCGTATATCGTTCGGCGGACAACACTCCTCATGGTATCTTAAAATGCCATATGTCTGTGTGTTCGGATTGTGACACGCAGTCTCAACTGATGCTAACAGTGAACTTGTTATACGCGTTTCTGTGTCAGCTGCTGTACTACATGTGGTTACGTATCACAATCCAATCAAACCCCGGGTGTTGGACAGTTTCGGAGTTGTTTTGTTTCAGCACTACGCTCCACGATTGGTTTTGGTCTTGTCTCCGATCGAATGTGTGAGTGCATATCTGGACGCGGTGGCTGACTCTTTGATCGCCAGGTCATTAAGTCTCGCGAACAATATTTGATACAGCATTTGAAGGCTTGTTGTTACGTTTTTGTATTTTCCGCCATAGGTTTGGATCGCGACATGCAATCTCATTCGGTACCACTACGTGTTGCTCATGGAGCTCAATTGCCTAGTGATCATGGCGTCAAATATCAGCTACTACGTTCAGAATTCCATTCCCATCTTCGAGGACGAAACCGGTGTGGGGAGCGCGGTGCTAAGGGAGAGCATTTCCGAGATCCATCCACTTCGGATACGCACCTCTCCTAGTGATCGGAATGACAGAGGTCTACTTCCTAGTGAACCCTAGTCCCAGTAGAGATTGTGTGACAATCTAAACACATGTGGGTACTCCACAGATGCTTTAAGATCCAATGCTGATTCGTAATGAGGCATTCCTTGACGGAGCGTGAATACATGCGCTCAGATCAGTATTCACACAGGTGACCGATGTACAAGCGAAATCGGAGGCAATGAAAAACATGAAATGTTTGATATTCGCTAATGAATAAGAAGGATATAGCAGCACCCTCGCCCCATGCAGTGTGCTTAACATGTCTGTCGCCCATTCGTGACTGTCTAACCATGGGCGTTTGAATTCACTGTCTAGTACAAAAGTATAATAATAAGAATGCATGGAACAGGGTCTGCGTTGCATCTCAACGTGGGAGGATGCTTTGCTTGACTCGGACCGTGGAGTTAGCGGTCTCGTGAAACCATCCGAATCGGACGGGTTTACCAAACTGTGTACCGGGGTAATTGAATTTATGCAAACCAACCCGCGTATGCAGTTCCCTCATTCTCTTTGCTTGGACACACGAGCTCTTGGGTCTCTGAGGATGGAGTCGCGGGAGAGACACACATGGAATGAAATCCCTATGGTATGTTGCTCAAGTTTCGTCAACAACAATGACAACAAACCAACACTGCAGCTGTGGCGATTTGACACTTGACTGTCTAACCTGCTTTCTTTTTGTTGTTAGTCGGCCAGTTAGTGATTCATTGTGGAGGCACATGCGAATGAGATGGGTTTGGAATCCGTCACGATGGCACAGGAGAGTTCGCCTGAATCAAATGCAGAAACGTTTATGTTCTATGAGATGGGAATCTTCTCAGCCATTACCAAGGTGTTGCCGTTTCCTGGATTGCAAACAAAGCGCCAGAGATGGAATGCTAACCTGCAAGGAAGCTAAGGATCTCAATGAAAGCATCAAAACCAGTATACGAAACGCTTGAGAATATTAATCCGATGCAGAAGCAAACTGGTATTTTGAATGCCACGTACCTGTCAGTTATCATCCATTTTTTATCTACTGTTCCATATACTAGTAACGGAGTTGCGCTGGTGCCGTAAGGGAAACATTCCCATTACGGTTTTATCCAAAAATGACCATAGCAGCGTTTTCCCCGTTTAGTTGATCAACTGCGAACGTGGCACCTTGACAAACATCAGCGTTGAGGCTTCATTGCCATTCGCCTACCAGAAGTTACCTACGCAAGCTCGAATCGGCTATCTATGGATTACAAGACAGACACTAAAACTAATCGGCTACCGATCCGCACTGAAGTTCGGTAGATCAGCGGGAGTACATTGAAATGAAACGCCAAGTGGTATAAGACTTAAGGGGTGCACCAAACTGTTTACTATGTCCACAGTAGCTACAAGATGTGGAAGATACGATCTCTGTCATATGAGATAATTTTGCCAACACCAGTCGCCACAGAGAACTAGATCATTTCGACGGACTAACAGCTTCCAGGCATGTCAAATCATCGCACGAAAACCTCCTCCTAACTCATAAGGATTGTTCATTTGGGTTCACCAACCGTTGCAACATGATTTAATAAAATGTGTTTCAGAAACCATGTACTTCCATTCATCTGAACCAGATGCGCTGTTTTCATGGGATGCTTTCACCTCCACGCCACCATTTCTGAACAGCACTTACCTTGTACTTCTCTGCTGTTTGTTGTTTCCTCCTCAGTAGCTTTTTCTACTTACCAGTGTCGAACCAAGGTCTGCGAATTGGCTCTCACGCTGAAGTTGTCGTTTAGCTTCCATTCGGTTTTTAATGAACATTTTGTGTGTCATTCCTACCGTTCGGCTTTGTCATTTCATGGCTATACATTCTTGATAGCCAATAATCGGCTAATTTTGCCCGCATTTAGGTCACAATTATCGACCATTTATGCTGCATCCTCTTTTGATCCATAAACTTCGGCCGCGACAATATTGGATCTATGTCCTATTCACATATGGCTGATCACTTTAAGTGTTCTCATAGTTGTGTTGATTCTTCTCATGCTTTTCTCTTTTCCACCGACTTCCCCAATCGTTAACAGTGGCAGTTTACTGTTGGTTTATTTATTGAGAAGGACCGAATGCGTCCTGCTAACGAGTGTTGCATACTCCTGTCTTATTACCTCACATTGTTCCCCTGATCTAATAGCTAATGTCTCATGTTCCCAGGCGAGTTCTCAGTCGTCCGTTCCACATTCGTCGGCGCCTCCGTCGACTTGTTCAACCGGAAGCATTTCGCCTTCTGCTCAAACGATCGCAGATCTTTGGAATGCCAAAACCAATCTACAACTTTGCATGGAGTTGCATGCCGCACCATCTGTACGCGGATTCATCAACTCCATCAGCTTGTCTCCTTCTGCCAATCTTCAGGTGAGTTAGGTCTCATGTTCACGGGGTTGACTTCATCCGCATGTTGTATGTCACGGAGACTGGTTATCCATCCCACGAGGAATTTTTCATTGTGTGATGTTGTAATGCTTTTGCGTGTCTCATCGGTTTCTCTCGGTCATTATTCTCATGTTGACTTTTGGATTTCAGGACAGTTTGCGCCTCATCAATCTACTGTTCAAATTTGGGCATCTTGCCGAAATTCGAGACATCATTCGGGAAGGACTGACAAAAATTCGCTTGTCTAATTGGCTTTTGGTTATACAACAGCTTCTCGCACGTATCGACACACCTAGAGACTACGTGGCCGGCATCATCATAGACCTTCTTATTTCGGTTGGCCGAAGTTATCCGCAGCAACTGGTGTACCCGTTGGTGCTTGCATTCAAATCTGGCGGATCCGATCGACGTCGTTACAACGCTAACCGCATTTTGTATAGCATGGAAGAGCACAGTCCACGGTTGGTCTCTGAAGCATTTTTGGTAAGTGTGTGGTCGTCTCCACTGTCGTGAGCCATTCTTTTAGTCATTCGATCACATTTCGAACATCGATTCAACTTGGTGCACGCAATTTTGGTCGCACAACGAATGGCCATCATTACCACGTGTGCCGTACAAAAATCATCCTTTCTACATCCTTCGAATTTTGGCGTTGACCTGCGCTCACACTTATAAACCTTGATTGTCAGGTTCGCAGGTGCCGTTGTGACGGTGGGCTTCGCGCGTGTTCTGTCTACCAAATCCTAGCTGGCGAATGCGGTTTCCATTGCACATAAGCTAGGATGTCAACGCGCCTTCAGACAAATGTGGCGGTCAATCTCCTCGCACTTGTTGGAGTAGATTATAAAGCTGGAAGTGCGACTATTACCTAAGGCCTAGTAGCATAAGCCGCTGTCTTTTATCGCAAACCGCCGTAATCTATATGTCATTGGTTCGATTGTTGATTGAGCCGTGGAATGCGTGCGACTTATGAGTCCCAATAGAACGAAACAGGCTCTCTGATGTTATCCCGGATGCGTGGTAAGTTATTTGATATAGAAACTATTGCAACAAATTTTGCATAAAATTACGCCAAAATCTACTCACCAGGAATACACCTGTCTCAAGTATTTGACAGTTCAAGTTGAGAATAACAACGAAAACGTTGCAGCGAATGGTATTATTCTGCAGAAACTAGACTTTGATCCTGTGGTTCCAGTGTCATACATCTCCATTCTACTTGATTATCCCGTGCTATTGTTTTCTCTGACTAATGACGTGAAATGTGGTGTTTCTATCTATTGCTATTAACTAATGGGACTGCAGTTGTTGACAACTGAAACTAACTGGATCGTTGCAGCCAGTTATTTGGTGTTGAACTGGATCCCGAGGTTTTCGGTACAATATTTTAAAACACAGTCACGTGTGTGGATTTTCTGTGGCTCGTCTCATTCACTAACAAAAACTTCCTTTAGACCCCATGGTTTCTATTCCTTCCGTCTGGACTTGGCTTCCGAACGATATGGCAGATGGTTAAGCTCGCTTTTTGAATAGGAGTTACAACGCCTCCACCTTTGTTATCGCGTGTTTTATCCATTTTGTATTTCACATTTTTTCATACCTCAGCTAAACGAGGAACTGATTCGTTTGTCCATCACCTGGGTCGAAATGTGGTCCGAATCGCTGGAGGATGCCAGCCGTGTGTATTTTGGCGAGAAGGATATCATGAAGATGTTCCGCATTCTGCATCCGCTTCATCAGATGATTGATCGAGGCCATGAAACGATACATGAAGCCGCGTTTCTGCAAGAGCATGGGAACGAGCTGAACAATTGTCGCATTTGTTGCGAAACCTACGAGCGCACTTCGAACAAGCTGATTTTGCAACAAGCCTGGGAAGGATACTACACACTTTATCGACGGGTACATTGGTCTGATTTTGTAGTTGTAGAGATTTCTCCGTCTCGTGAATTATTATTTGTATGTGCAAGGTTAATCCAACATCTTAGACAACTGACAAGGTACAACGTGTAACACTGGCGATTATTCAACTGTGTGCGCATTGTTGTAATTTCGCTTCGTTCGTGTCCAACTGTTTCTTTGCCTTGATGTAAGTGACCGGTTCCCGCACCATGGGTTTAGCCCATTCGTCACGTTTCGCAACCGTACTCCTAAAGCACCGCCGTACATATCGCGCTGATTCTCTCGCCATCAGATGAGTCGTTTTTCTTCATTGAGTTGCGGATTTACTGTTGGGGTCGGAGAGTTTCGCGACTTCTTCGGTCCTCACTATACATTCAATCTACCGATCCATATGTCGGCCAGTGGCCAAGTGGTCTGCGCGCCTGGTTTGCAATCATAAGGTCACCTTTTCGAATCCGGGTAAGGTTGGGCGTCCTCGCGGTATACTCAGCCCGCGCGCGACTGGTGATGGTCGCGTGGCAGTGAAGCGCCGTTACGGCGTACAGCTGGCGATCTATCTATCGATCCACACAGATTCTCTGGCCACCTTGTATCTCGTCAGTCTATCTGTAAGGTGACTTTAGAGCGTTCTGATCTCACTCTGTAACCAATGTTTCGCAGTCGAGGTTGGTTTTTTATGTGTCATTCTGTCAAGTGGCTCAGGCACAAGCATTTTATGCATTGTTCCGGCCCATACAGCTAAGGACCATCTGATGCTATGGTGACGTCTAAAAACACTATGACCTTTGATGTTTCGAATCATCTCGTGTCATCAGATGGGCCGCCTATTTCGTCAATTCGTCATACCCTATTATGGGCGACAAGAGTGGCTGCCTAAGCAAGGCACATGTTCGCTGCATATGCACAGCTACAAATCACTCATAACTAGACATGCGCATTCTGGTAGATTACGTTTACGGCCTCCTTAATCGGTTGTTGTCACACAACCTAACGTGTGAGTGCGTTCGGATTGGCTGCGTTATGTCTTGGCTTTTAGATCCAGTCATTCTTCTCGGACGATTATTTAGGCATTGCATGTGCTTGGCACGATTTATGCACCAACACAGCCTGGTAACTCAGTGGTCCCATCTCCATTGGCAACCGACTTTGACTTGCTATATCAGTTCAGTTGAACAAATGTGATCCGAGCACCGACGTGTGGTGGATCCAGTTGTCCCGACTCGCAAGAACAACACTAAACAACGACGATAAGATGGAGTTGAATTCAAATAGAATGTGAGGAAAATGGAATTAGAAAAGAAGTGCGTTAAATGAATCGGGATGGAATGAAAATTAACAACCAGATGCAAGAGACCGAATACAAAGACGCCACTGACAGCGCAATTGCGCCATGTCTGATACGGTCTCCGGCCATTGGCGTGGACAACTCCGAGGCCCCCATCCACGAAGACAGCACGCACCAAACTGACCAAGTCTTTCAGTTAATTCCTTCATGCCACTATGTTACCTCATCGACTGGTTACCTCGCGGTTTCGCCCAACTTGGTGTAACCACGGTGTATAATACACGTCTAGGAAACCGATCAACGGGCATACGGAGGGCATGGCCTAGACAACGTACGCGATTCAGATTCAGTAAACGCTGGAAAGCGGCACCAGAATGCTTCTTGACAAAAACCAAATGATGGACCTCAACACTGCTCACCCGGTGTTCACACCAGACGTTAGCGATACTCCGCAAGCATCGGTGGTCAAACACGGCCAAACATTTAAGGTCTTCGCCGCGAACTGGTTAGGTCTCTGATCCATTCAGTAGCACTGACCTTATCGCAGCGTTATGTACCCTAACTTTCACTGACAGACTGATATCCTGCAGCCCCTGTAGATGGTTGCGTCTCTGGAAAGCCACACAAAGAAACTTCCAAGGTAAATGAACCGATCCACCACTTGTAATGGCTGTTTGGTGATAGCTGGAACTGGAGATTAGTCAGTCCAGTCTTGCAGCAGTACTTTTCACTCTGAAGCATATGCCGAAGCGTGCAACATTTGCATAGCTACTGCGTCAGACGCAAGAAGCGCTATGTCCACCACATACTCAGGTTTGTCAGTCGGTCACCTGGCATAAGTTCCACTCCGGTAGAGTATGACAGAACGGAGTCATTCATGATCATTTCGATCACAAAGTTGAAGAAGAAAGGAGATTTAGGACAACCCTGGCGAACCCCACTTATCGTGAGGAACTCAGGAGAGGGATTGCTGTAGACCGTAACACGGCCTCTGGAGTCACGGTGGAGATACTGCATAACGGAAAGTACTTTAACTAGCACGCCCTTCATGGATAGGCAGTGCCACAAGCTGATGCAGTCAACATAGTCGAAGACGAGTTTCAACTCAAGGAAATCCGCCATAGTCGGTCGCCTGTGTGTGTCTCTGCCCTAAAACTTGGCGCAGACGACATGTGGTCGGTTCAACCATCTCACAAACTCTTATGGTCAGCTATCCAGCCAGTACTTCTTATGTTTTACACTGCTGTCGATGCTTGCTGTCTCTTGTTTTTCCGGATCACGATGCAACTAAGACCTAGGCATTGCTATTATTCTACGAAATTCGTCCTAACTTTGGACGAAGCATGTAGCCGGCCCTTGTATTAGCGGTATAAGAGATGCGACCACTGTTTTTCTCATTGTTTGAGTCATAAACGAGGCACAAATTATCCGTGAATTGGGCCCGTCGCTGACGGCTCCGATGTGAACTCTTCATGTTCAATTTTTTCCCAAGTAGAAATATTCACTGCCGCACGCGATTGCATTTGGCCTAACACACCGCCACCCAGGCAGGATATCGACTGTGTGTGTGACTGCGGAGTAGTACTGTAAACTACTAACATTATACCGTTGCGCAGCACCATCACGCAAATTATTCCGCTTAACCTACTATAGGCTGGATCAGGTTAAGCATGGAAGTGTAGGAAAAACCTCTACCTTGTTTCTTGCCATTTTTCCGAATAGATTTCGTTTTCGTTTCTGCAACTGTTTCTCCAGTGTGACATTCTCGTTTCTTATGCAGTTCACTAAACAGGTGAATAGTATGAACACACTGGAGCTCTGTGTCTCGTCTCCGCGTCTACACGAATACGGCAAGGACTGGGAGCTGGCGGTCCCCGGAAGCTATGAACCACATCGGCCACTAGTTCGAATCGCTGGGATAAAAAATTGTTTGTCGTTGATGACCTCCAAACAGCATCCACGTAAACTGACCGTCGTCGGTATGTGCATGATCTTCCATTTAACCTCACAGGCCACACCACGCATGAGGGGGTTCCACCTTATGTCTATCTCTCCTTTGTCCACCTTCAATCAGGCTCCGATGGACATCAGTATGTATTCCTTCTGAAGGGGCACGAAGATACGCGTCAAGATGAACGCGTCATGCAATTTTTCGGTCTCGTAAACACGTTGTTGATGAATAATTCTGAAACATTGAGCAGAAATCTTACGTGAGTTCCCTCTCTACTCTCTCTGAGTGTGTATGTGTGCCTCCGGAAAACATCTGATTGATTAGCCTACCGTCCTCCTTGCATTCTGGATACCTTCGATATTACTGCATTTGAGCTCAGTGTCAATGATTATGTTATTTCATATGGGTTATGTGTGCCGGATGAAGTGTCTTCACTCGATCTAACCGCATAGTAAATACTCAAAAAACAGTTACCCGATTCTGATCGCGACATTTGCCTTCGGTTTTAACCCCTATTGCATTGCTACGGAGTTCCTAGCTCTTCCCCTCACACGATAAGACGTCTGATACGAATGATTGATTTTTGTGTTCACCTGCCGTTGAAATGATGGGAATGCGGTCATTTCGTCTCTCTCTCCCTCTCGACCAGGTAGTCACTCTAGATGACTATCCGCTCTTCTTTACACACACTGTGTCAGTAGTGGGGTGGGTCATCCAAGGGATCGTGCTAGGTCCTTTGCTGTTCCTATAATCCACATCCCTATTACCATGTACATAAAGCATGGCCGGTCATTTTTATTCGCCCACGATATCGGGTTGGTAATATCTGCATGACACTGGAGGATAGGTCGCGTTATATCCCAGTTCGTTTGTAAGTTGTGACGGTGTATCACTGTCTCCCGTGTGGCTCAGTGGCATAAGCTGCTGGTAAGTTGACGCAAGCTGCTAGCGGTCACGACTTTGGTCCCCTGAATGCAAATGCGCACCACCGACAAATCGCACTGGGGCGAAACGATCGTCTGCTGCTTAGATCGTCGCGCTCGTGAGCTGCTGAGACGAACTAGTACAAATCGATACCATGATCGCCTATAAGCTTTGGCGTGGCGAACTTCACGGAATGCTTTTGCTCATCCAAGATGACTTGTATTACTGAGGACTGAGTTAAATGCTAGGAGTAGAAATTCAACTCATCCTCCTACTCCTCTGTGCACAGACCAAACCTTATGATTGGCGGCTCACGTTTGTTAACTTTGCCGCTTGGTGAAGCAGGTGCCCTCTCCTCCATACGGCAGTAACGTTCAAGTTAGTGAGCGGCGCTATATCACATCTATTAACCTAGTCACGACGGTCGTTGTCGTCCCCCGTAGCTCATTGGTCTCAACCACGGATTGATAACAATCTAGTTGTGGGATCTAGTCCCCACATGGGTCAGATGGTACGCACACTGCTGACGACTCCCGAAAGGATGAGACGACCGTACAGTGCTTTTCCGGACGTGTTATGGCTATCTGAGTGATTAGATGAATTTCTGTCTATGACTTATATTCCCTTGAGGCATGGCGCTACTTTTGAATAACGAACCTCTCGTCACCGTGTCTTAGGGCCGCTCCACCGCGAAGGATCTGTTGTACTGAGCAGTAAACATGTCTGTATACAACTGTCTACTCGCAATCTCGGAGTTCAGGACTCACTGACCCCCAGCCTCTTCGAACAGTAGCACGTGTTAGGCGATGTGGTTAAGATATCCAACAAAATCTACGTAATCCATGTTATAGTTGAGCTTTTTTAAGCTACTCACCCTCCCCAATCTCGAGCACTGTGTATAATATATATATATATTATGTAATATATAATACAATATAATATATATATATACTGTATATATAATATGAAGTAGAATGTGAAAGAGCAACACCTACAGAAGTCGTTTATTAAACATCCGATTGGTAAGCATTCTATCATAAATTGTTGACAGCGTTTGATATTGCGAGTAAGACAGAAGGACTCATGAGATGGAACCGTATAGCGATTCGGTTATGCATGCGAAACACATCGGCTATTGAACGTCGATGTCGTCTGAATTGTCTTTCTTCCGATCTTCTATCTCCACTCTATGTTTGGGCGCCAACGACTGAGTCTGTCTTCAGAAATCCACAACATCGGGCTTATCGTTCTGTGCTTGTGACATGTATGCGTTCTGTTTCCAGCTTTTTCTTACTCACTCCTACCTGTGAAAGGACTTATTTTGTTGTGACCTCATTACATTGCTTTGATGAACTAAACCTCGAATTACTTATCCACCTGAGGGGATACATGTCGTCTGTTGTACTTTGTCTAATCTCTGCACTGTCCCCTTTCTTCTGCACCAGAATTCAGCGCATGTCTGTTGTCCCACTGTCAACAAACACCGGTCTGATTGGATGGGTCCCGAACAGTGACACGTTGCACAGTCTCATACGCGATTATCGCGAGAAGACTCAAACCATGCTCAACAAAGAGAATCGGGAAATGATCTCACTCGCTCCCGACTTCGATCGATTGAACGTGATCCAAAAGACGGAGGTGTTCGAAGCGGGCCTACGTGAGTGTTCGGGACGCGATCTGGCCAACATTTTGTGGCTCAAAAGCCACAGTTCAGAGGTAAGTGTATAATAATCGCCTGCAGATGTTCCCACTTATTCAATCCGTGCTTTCTCACAAATTTTGGGCTGAGGTGGGTGGGCCTCGGCTCTCTTCTTCTGATATTGTATTCCTGTTCCCGTGATCCCCGTTTTTGTATTCTTTTGCTCCTAAAATCTCTTCCATGTATCAATCCACGTTTTGTTGGAAGATTTGTCCTGACTAAGCCAATTCATTCCTTCGAGGATAGCGTCATCTGCAGTATCCTTTGGTAACACTGTGTCTCTTTTCAAACTTACCTGCAAATCCTATGCCTACATCAGCGCTGTCTTCACTGTCTCATCTTACAGGCATGGTTCGAACGGCGTACGAACTTCGTTCGATCCATGGCTACCATGTCGATGGTCGGATACATTCTTGGTCTTGGAGATCGGTAAGTGTGTCGGACCCTACAACGATCGCATCGTCATTGACGTTGTGCTGTCTTTGCTCAGCCATTGGTCATGTTGTTCCGTTTGACTTTGTTCGTTACTTTTTTTTACGCCGGTAAAGATGTGTACGTTCGCTCTGATTTTAGTGATCACCAGGTGGCATACACACGTTGTAGTCAAGCATTTGTGTTCCCAACGCTTGTGTAGTTTTCTCCTATGCTGGCTTTTTCTCCGCCCACACAGAACAGACCTCGTTTATAAGACACGATGCTCGTCTCCGGCCGGAGTAGAGAAATCCCACGTCCGTTGGCGACGCAGTCGCCATCCAAGAGGCAGACAACTTTATTTCCACCCTTGGATGTCTCTGGTTGACAGACAAGTCTAGCAATTGGTGGTTGTAATTGGGGTATTCACCAAGTTTCATGCGACTGTATCCACCTGGAGACAGGTGGCACCTATGCGATAGACCAATACTTGAATACGGCGCCCCAGCTTATCATCCGATAACTTAGTGGGCAACGGAAAAACTGAAGAAAATATAGCACATCGCAACTAACATGATTTGTAGTCTAGGAAAACTTCCGTATGAAAAACGTTGTGAAGGACTCTGACTCTACACCCTATCCTACCGCCAAATAAGAATTGATATTATGACCCATCGAGCAGTACACTTGAATCACTTCCCCAAACTGCGACCAATATTTCACCTGCGGGAACCCCGTAACACTCAAGGACACCGTTACAAATGCAGGGTCCAATGCATGAACAGGGTATCACATCAGCTTTGTATAGAACGAAGAATCGTAAACTTATGGAATACAGTACCAGAAGGACTAAGAGAGGTCGATTCCGTGAGGTGTTTCAAAATACGTATCGACGATTATTTCGGTAAGCTGTGTTTTTGTGAAACGGCGCACGTACAATGTAAACAAATACATCCTATCCCCAGAAATAATGACACCAGTACGAACTTCTAACCGAACAAAGATAAACAATTCGATAGAGTTGTACGAAACCTGTATACTTGCTCTTAACTACAGTCTCAGACGCACACAGACATGTACGTATAGTCTACATTCACAAGGCACACATGAGACTTGTACTTCGTGTAAACAGCGAAATGGGCCATAAATATAGTGATTCGTGTTATTTCTCTCAATATTCACCCAGCTTTCTCATAAAAAACCAAGCCGATTGTGTACCGATTCACCTGGCCTGAAAAAGCTCTTGCGTCAAGAGCGAAACGCTGCCATAATAAAAACCTACAAACACCGATTTTATTCAACACTCTGAAATCATGAGATCTCAGTCAGCTCCAAGCACATTCCGGGATATTGAACTAAAGAACAGTGCAATCATTCCGCTTCAACTGTGGCGACAACATTGTACGGAGTTAGCACGCATGTGTTTTTGCACGTGTAGCTTCGGTTCCACGTAATGAAGATGTCCATCTACCACATACGTGTCAACTCCACAGGTAACTTGTTATTATCGCATACGACACCTACCTCCCGGTGTATCGTCCTTGCAGCTGAGTTTGAGCGGTGCACCGTCCACCTTGGTCCACCGACTTATTAGATGAAGGACAGATAAAAGCGAAACGCTGCAATAGGCATCACACTATGCTCCGTGCTGTATGCTTCTCTGTTAAGTAGCATTCATCTAACCGAACTTCCTCTGTGATGTGTAATGACACATTGTGTGGCATAACGTTGGTGTGGAAATAATACAAGCGAACATCGAAGTTTGTGCGATATCCTTTCTTGTCCTGTCTTCCACATGTAATTTCTTATTTCTGCTATTTCCCAGGCACCCGTCCAACATAATGCTCTCTCGGGAGACAGGCAAAGTGGTACACATCGACTTTGGCGATTGTTTCGAGGTGGCTATGATGCGCGAGAAATTCCCCGAAAAGGTTCCTTTCAGGCTAACCCGAATGATCATAGCTGCGATGGAGGTGAGCCATCGAGTGAAGCCTATTACCTGTTTTATTGTCAGTTTCATGAGTATCTCGTTGGATTTGCCCTTGATCGTTTCATTCTCATAGACCATAGTAAATAACGCAGTCGCCGTTTTAGTAGTGTTCATGCATCAAAAAAGAGGCATCAGCAGTGTGAAGTCCAAAAGGAACTTTGATGTATCCCCAGCCTGGATTGCTTACATGAGGACACGGTATCTCTATTCCCTAATTATTCTGCTCATTTTACATTGCTTTACTATGTCCTACAATCGGTTACCATATCGTATATTTGTTCCTTTCACTCGATCACTGACATATCCTTGACATTTCAAGGTCATTCATATTATTATGTTACTGTGACACTGCCCAAATACTCGCACGCTGTACAATTTCTGCCCTCTTGCACTACGATTGCAAAACCTATTCGTAAGTTATGTACTGTATTTAATATGCCTTATAGAACCACGGTTACAGGATAAAACGTTTTATTCTTCTGCCCAGACCGTGCGTTAAGTCTAGGTTTATTTGTTTGTAGTTTCTAGTTTAGTTTCGTAAGACGTACTTAGTTTGGGCTTGGTATCGTTCGTACATAGGTTGAATAGTGCAATCATGTCCGTTTCTGGCGACTCGCTTGATAATGTTAACGCTACTGATGCTGAGAAGCTTCAAAAAGCCAAATCCAGTATTCGTCTGCTGGAGTCGGCTTTAACGAGCGTGCTCATGCTGCAGGCGGAGACGGCTGATGTTAAGTATTACTGCGTACCTGAATTTTAGTCGGATGCGCTGGTGAGTGAACGATCGCGATTTATTACGGCCGACAATTGTGAACTCCTGCCCGAGGTTGCCATCTGCTCGTCCTTTTTGAAGCCGGTTAATAGGGGTCCGCGCGTTCCGTCCGTGTCTCAATTGGTCTGTCCGTCGGCATCCGTTGGTGGCCAGGTTCGGTCCCAATCAGGGATGTTTTGCTCCTGCCTGCAAGCTGAAAGTAACCTGTGTCCAGAACGCAAATCCAGCGACTTTGGACCCAGCAGGTCATCCTGTCTTCCAAAACGCGAACTGATCACATTCGATGGAGATCCTGCCCGCTATTGGCTATTTATGAGATGCTTCGAAGCCAATGTTTCCAGAACTACTTCCGATCCAACTATCAGGCTTTCATATCTGATACAGTGCTGTTGTGGTGAAGCCAAAGAAGCTATCAAAAGTTGCTTTATACTCGACCCTGGTGAAAGTTTTGAAGAAGCAATGAACATTTCGCGCAGGCGCTTCGGACGGCCCCACATGATTGCTAGAACTCACATTAATGCTCTAACTGATGCGTAACATAAGGCCCAATGATTTCGCGGCTCTGTCTTCTTTAGCTGTGGAGCTGCGCTCATGCTACTTGACGCTGAAACAATTGAGGTATGAATCCGATTTGAACGCGTCCAGAACAATCAGCTCTATCATCAGGAGGCTGCCCAACCACCTGCAATTCAAGTGGGCCGAGTATGCCGCCAGAGTTATTCGCACCGAAAGAGAACCGAACTTCATTGATTTGACAGATTTCGTGGATGAAACCGCAGACGTCGTCGATACTTACTTGTCCTTTGTCGCACGTCCCTGCGGACCACCGACCAGCACTAATAGAGGCAGAAGCTTAAACCCTCGGGGATATGCCGCTTGCCTAAACACTGCGGCTTCGTCAGAACGAAATTTCCCCAAATGTGTTTCTTGTGAACGACGTCACTTTTTAGATCAGTGTGATAATTTCCGAAAGCTCAATCTCAACGAACGTCTTGGATTCTGTCGCGCCCATAGACTGTGTCAGCTCTAGCTCAAACCGAATCATGACCTACCAAGTTGTCGATCACCAAGGTGTTGTGAGTCGAACAATTTTAAGCTGCTGCACCACCCGCTACTCCACGCTGATCGAAGCAACTTCGGAAGACCAAACACTGAAGGATCCCGTTTTGCTCTCATTCACGTCGAACGCTCTGTTGTATCGCTTGGCTTGTTGCCTGTGCTTGCATCTGGGCCTGCTGGCACGATTCGAACATTAACCTTAATAGATAATGGATCGGATACTTCATTGATTTATTCAACAGTACTACAACTTATCGGGGTTCAGGGGTCTGTGACGACACTTACCATTAGCACCGTTGCCTGCAGATGCCAAGTAGAGTCGCAGTTGGTTAGTGTAACTGTTCGATCTATAGATGGTGATGAGGCGGTCCAATCGGATTCAATTAGGTCAGTCAGTCATCTCCCTGAAAAACTTGGAACGAGAAACAGGAACAACGATTTCGACAGATGGTCTCACCTCTCCGATTACCGAAGCTGGAAGGAAGGGTTGAACTTTTGATTGGTTGCAATAACCCATACCTACACTGGGTACTAGATCAGAGACGCAGAGATTCTGATGATCCGTATGCTGTTAAAACTCCATTGGACTCGATCGTACTTGGACCGAGCAAACAGCACGAGACTATGAGGGATCAATCCACATCACTGATAGTTGATCGAACACGGAGGATAAACTCACTTCGCTGCGATACCACTGATCTTCATCAACTACTAGAGTAAATGTGTGAAAAAGAATTTGACGGGCTAGATAGTCCACAACTATCCATGTCTGTAAACGACGGACGCGCGTTAAAACTAATGGAAGTTTCTAAAAGAAACGTTGGCGCCCATTACGAGATTGCGTTACCATGGCAAGCCGGGAGACCTCGGTTACCAGATAACTACAGTCCGCACTGATGGGACTTGTCATGTTGAAGAAACGTTTGTCGAAATATGCCGCACTGCACCAAGGCAATCTTGGTTCACCCCCTATTGTATACCGCATGACTGTACATCCGTTTGGCGCTACTTCGTCACCAAGCTGTGCTAACTTTGCATTACGACAAGCTATCATTGTGAATCCCAAACAAAGGTTAAATAGGTAGCAGAGAACTGTTTTTATGTCCACGACTGTTTATTTAGTGTTGATTCTGTTCCCGAAGCAACTGAACTCGTTATACACCTTACCCGTATTCTGTCCGACGGAGGATTTCATTTGATGAAATGGGTCAGCAATCGAAAGGAGGTTATCGCGCATCTACCTGACAGCGAACTGAAGGTTCCCGGAATAAGATATTCGACTGGGGACGATTGTATTACAACTGCGCTTGGTTTAAACTGGAACGTCACCCAGGACCACCTAACTTTTATGCTGGAAGGTTTTAATAAAACCCGACCCGGAGAGCCATCCTCTCGTTTGTAGCTTCAATCTATGATCCTCTCGGCCTCATTGCTCCCGTGCTACTTCCGGCAAAGGTACTGTTACAGAGACTCGTTAAAAGGAAGCTGGATTGGGATTAGTCTTTTCCCGCGGAGGATCAGCAAGCTTGGAACAAATGGTTATCAAACGCCAATGGTCTAATCAGCTTGTCCGTCGAACGTTGTATTAATCCATTCGGATGCAGTGTATCTTCTGTGCAGTTGCATTGTTTTTGGATGCGTCTGAGGCTGGTTACGGTGCTGCTCTATATTTGCGTTGCGAGATTAATGAAGGCAACGTTACTAGTTTTCTGAGTATTAGTAAATCACGTGTCAGTCCCATTAGAACGATGTCGATACCAAGGTTGGAGCTCAATGCTGCCGTACTGAACGTGCGCATGTCAGCGAAAGTCAGAGAGGAGATGGTACTCCATTGTAGCACAACGTTTTGGACGGACTCGATGGTAGTTCTGAAGCGAAGTGTTAATGGGCGTTTCCCGACGTACGTTGCTAACCGGATTACCATTATACAACTACTGTCGCCCCAGTCAGTGGTGCTACTTAAATTCAAAGCAAAATCCGGCTGATATAGCCTCACGTGGACTCGCGATATCGCTCAAGAAGAAAAGAAACCAATGGTTACATTGGCCACAATTTCTCGTTCAGCCCCATTCCTCATGGCCTATGCCTCCGGAAAATCTAAGTGAATTACCGCCTGAATGGTTATGACTGGAGGTTGGTCTTGTTTACTTGATCACTTTGGAGGAGCACTGGATTAATAAATTTAAGGCCTGCTCGACATGGACATCCCTGCGCAAATATTTCGTTACCTTCTTGCGATTCAAATTTTATTTCGTCGCCAAGTACCTGAGGTGCGCTGCACCTGACCAACCAGCTGAGATAGAATGTGCTGAAATTCGACAAGCTACGCTTCAGATAATTAAGTTGGTGCAGTCAGAAGTTTTTGCGGAGGAGACGCGTCTCCTTGCGTACAACGAACCTGATATATCAGTTCCAAATTTAAGACAGGTCATGCAGATTAAGACGACTCAAGCCCTTCCTCATTAATGGGATACTTCGGGTGGGCGGAAGGCTGGATCAACCCTCGTTACCGTACGACGCGAGGCATCCGATTTCACTTCCCGGCCGCCACTTTGTCACTCGCCTTCTTATACTTCACTACCACCACATCAATGGACACTGGTGCGCAGCACACTTTGTACGATCTTCCTCGACGCTACTGGATCGTGGGTCGGGTTTCATCCATAAGGCGTGTGCTTTTCGGATGTGCCAAATGCCGCGTTAACCATGCGAAGCCACTGAGTCAGCTGATGGCGCCAGTTGTAAGAGACCAATGTTTAACCCACTAACCAACGTTCAATGCAGTGGGGATCGACTATTTTGGACCGCTGATAGTGAAACGTGGCCTTGTACATGAGGAATGGCCGTTTGTTCAGTTGCTTGACTGCACGGGCTGTTCACATGGAGGTTTCCCACTCTGTGGATACCGATTCGTACTTGTGTGCATTTTCGAGGTTTTCAGCTAGACGCGGATGGCCGAATGTAATATACAACGATAATGGACAGAATTTCCACGGAGCTGAAGCAGAATTACGCAATCTTCTGAAGCAACTGGATCAGACGAAGATCACAAAGTCTATGTTGGCTAGAGAGGTTGACTGGAAGTTCAATCCTCCATATGCTAGCCATCACGGAGGTCTTTGGGAACGATTAATTCGATCGACTCGTGAATT